AGTTGATGAACCGGTGTCCAATGGCCCGTTTAATAGATTAATCTGTAAAGGTCGATTGACTTTCTAACAACCACGTGTACATTTTCGTGTCTATTTGTTGGATCTCTCTTTGATTAAGTATTCCAACAGCCTGAGATGCATATTAATAATACAGTTCAATTTCCTCAGCTCCTTCAGCGAGACAGTACGATCACTAAATCTACATGTGCAGGTTTCAGAAATTAAGGATCTTTGACCAAGACCGATTTAGTCTTAAATAGTTTAGAAAACATGAAAAGGGCTTTGAAAATAAGTTATTTTTCTCTCCAAGAGGAAAATCGGGTTTTTTCCAGTGGAAGAGGCGCAGTCCTTGTCTTCTTCACAAATGATCCTCCATAAAATGTCACTATCTGCAAGATAAAAGGTGGAGTACAGCACGACAGTGCACTTCATCTGCTTCTAAACACGGTGACATTTCGGAAGATTTGGAAAGCCTGGTGTTCAACAGAAATTTAAAGGGCACCCTTATCATTCCTCATCTTTAACTTCCAAAACCCTTTTCTCTTAAATCCAGAAAGTATTCTTTCTGTTTTGGGGGGACATTGAATCACATGGCAAGGGGGTGTGGGGGGGCTGTTGGAGAAGGTTACTTGCGGCAAAATCAGTCCAAACGCTTCTGCACAATTGAGCTTTTTATACAAAGTGACGCCGCACAACGGGCTCAAGGTGAGACAGAAGTGGATTGTACAGAATGGGCTACATGTGCAGCAAAAGCCGCCTTCAGTTTGTGGATTCCCTTATCCCACTGGCAGGGCCTGTGTAGGGATTGTGACTGGCAGTGTGTCGGTGTGTGGTGTCTTCCTGACGAGAGCGCTGGAGCCCTGCTCTCTCGGTGCAGCTGGAGCTCCGGCCTGCCGGCACTGTGGAAACGGAGCTCCTGGCCCAGCTTGGCACGGTCAAGTGTGGAGGTGCGTGATGAACTCCTGCTGCTGGAGAAGTCTGGACATGTCGCAGTCTTCCCTGGGAAGAAACCCCAGAGCTAGTGTCAGGGCACTGCCGTACAGGACCTGCCAGTTTAACAGGAAAGACATTACAAACACACCTGCAAGCTGCTTAGAGCTTCCCGGCTATTGTGTCAAACATCTCCTTCTCGTGAGTTCTCCAAAAAAAATGTTTGGGTTTTATACTGGGTATTATAATTAGAGATGGAGCCACTGATGCTGTTCCCGTTGGTAAGGGCCAGTGCAGGGGGGGGTGCTTGCGTGCGATCTCGGGGGGTCTCACTGCGCTGAGAAGAGCTTTGATCATAAACTCACTCGGGTGAGGCGTGCAGAAGCAGGTGACTCCACTTGTGCGCGCAGTCTCCCCTCGTCAGATTGCCTGGAAGGAAGGGGCTCGTACCTTCTGGACCCGTCGCGGTGACGCAGCTCTCGTTTGGGATGGATTTCTGGGGAGGTGCTGCTGTCGTTTTTTTCTTCTTCTGCTCTTTTCTGGCGACCGCAGCAGAGCAGCCAGGTGAAATTGTGAATGCTGTGAATGGTACTCAGGACTGCTGTGAAGGGGTGCAAATTGTGTAAAAGGCCCGTTTTAATGGTATTATTCATTCTCTCATTGCTCCACTACTGTGTGACCTCATAATTCACGTGCATTCATTAGGAACACGGTTATTATTTAGAAAATCTCATCACTGGGAACTTCGTTCATCTTCCATTTTCTTTTATTCCCTGAAATAGTTGCTCGAGTCATGAAAAGACCATTCATTGTTCATAGTATAGAGCACTATATACACCCTATATATATATACCACTATATATATCATACCATATATATAAATACCATCATTACAGCTGCAAAGGAAAAAGTAAAGGTTAATTCCACGCTGAAACAATGTTTCTGTTTCTGTTTATGAGCCTTCTTCTGGTGTGACAAAGGCTCACAAGTTTCCCCACTGAAATGATCATTGCTGATATATAATTGCTTTCAATGCATTTTATTTACCCGTGAAAATAGTACCTGCATACTTAGCAAATGAGAGTTTCCAAGGATCTGTATCAAAATTGACCTTTACAAAAAGGGAGGTAGAGAGTTTTTTTTTTTATTCTCGCAGTAAAAGCGACTCGTGTATAGGCCTGTTCTGCGCGTCGAGCACATAAATAAAGCTAGTACACAGGTGACGGGCGCCTGGGGAACAGCACGGGCGGTTGTTACTCGCAGGACAGGGTGGAAGAGGCGGGGTGCGATCGGTCACAGGCAGAATGACACCACACGCGTTAGCGTCTCCGGAAAGAAGTTTTGACCAAGGCTGCCCCCTAGTGTGTCTTGTCCGTCCTTACGCTCGGATTTGCTTTCCCTCCTTGTCTCGGTTTCGTGTGTCCTTACTTGACTCCCGTGAACCAGGGGCGGTGTAGATCCTGCGCCTGATATATCCTGGGGGGGGGGTTGTGCTGCGGGTTTAAAGCGCTGTGCTTCGATCGACCAGCACACTGCGTCCCCACAGGCGCCCTGTGAGCAGTGATGAGCCCGGAAAAAGGCAGATGTTTGTTTTACAAGCACAGAGGCTGCTCCCCTCAAAAAAAATGTCCAGGCACGAGGGCCGAACAGACGTTTAATTTTCTAACAAACAATTACGTTTGTGCTACCCGCTCCGCCATAAAGTGCTGAAGGATTACGCCTGATGAGGCTTTCATCCTGTAAAACTTTTTAAAATGCGCTTTGCAAATCTGTTCCAACATATTTATTATTATTATTATTATTCTTTTCAACACAAAATATATTTTCGAAGTTAGATTTGCTGTGTATGTTAGGGCTGAAAGTGAAAGAATACTAATCTTAATCTAAATTTAGGATAGTTTGTCTAAAGATGAAGCGAAGAGCTCGTTGATGGATTCGGACAGTTGAACGTAACGCTCACCGCTTGTTGAAGGACAGCGTTATGACGCACCACCCGAATCCATTATCAGTACTGCTTATGGCCGGCAATAAAATCGCCTCCTGGTGGCGAACACACGCAATACGTGCACTAGGACTGTAAATGAGTGTGCACGGAATTCAGTCGACTTCTCCTGTCAGCCAGCAACTAGAAACTGTGTCTAGCGCCCTTGACTGTGGCGGCACGTTAATACAAAAGTTGCGGAGTGAGACTCTAACTTGATCACAGGCGCTGCAGTACCTGCAGGCCTGCCCTGCCCGCCGATCGTTCAGCTGCGGTATGTGAATTAATTTTCTCTGCCAATGTTATGTTCTTCTGCCTTGACATGCGACAGCTGTAAACTCAAACCCTTCCTAGCGACGCTCATGCCACACTCTTCGTTTTTTGTTGTGGTTGCTTTTCTGTGTTGCTCTGGCCACCTCGACCGCACGTTATCATCATCATCATAAGAGGCGCTTCCAGGACGTGTCGCCCTGAGAACCCCCCTCACATGTTTCAATTGATGTGATCTTTCGTCGCTGATATGTGTGCCTGGGATGAGTAATGCTATAGGTAATGGAGAGGGTGGCATTTCGCCAAATCTCTATGAAAGCCACGGCTGTTAAATAATTGATTTCATGCAACACTTTGTCATGAGGCAGGACGGGTGATATTGCGCCTCGCACCGCCTGTCTCCGGCAGAAGCTATTCCCTGTGCCGACGTGCCCGCCGCGGAGTCGGTGTCCGTGATGAGCCGGGCAGTCAGACAAGTCGGCCTGGTCTTTCCCCTGACGAGGACAAGCCCACAGATTCATTTCAGCTAAAGAGGACGGTGCGATGGCAGGGGGGGGTGCGGTGTTTTCGAAGTTGGTGTGCACCCTGAAGTCGTCGTAAATAAAGCTCCTTTCAAGCTTTAAAGCTCGTTGACCGACCCCGAGAGAAACCTTCGGGTCTGGAAGCGCCCGGGCCTGGCTGGTATTGCGCGTACATCGCGGGCACTCGCTCCTGTGAGCCGACACCGGTTGGGAAGGGGTTTGTCCATCTCTGTTCCTAAGCACACACGGCCTCGGCAAAAGGGTGTTTGAGGCGGGTAGTAAAGAGAACATTTTAAGTTGTTTGGCGTTATGGAAAATAACACTGTTCGCAGTCCCCGTCCCCCCCCCGACAGCTTTCTTTCGGGACGCTGTTAAAGGCAACCCTTCCTGCTTCCTTGTACTGTACACTCGCCGTGGGGACGCTAACGGGTGACCTCGACCCCCCGAAATCCTATCTGTGCCCTTGGAGTCGTGTCCCTTGCGAGCCAAGTTTTACTTGGCGCACCTACAGTAAGTACTGTACGAGAGGAAGAGGAACCGTCCAGCGCGGAGACACCACTCGCTCCCCTTTGATGAAGCAGGAGGGGTCGCTGGCCTGCGAGCCCTGCACAAAAGGATGCTGCCGTCCCCAGTGAAACTTTCGGCGAGACGAGACATATTTCCTCTCCCGAAAGAACTGGGTTCATGACAATTTCCTTCTGAATTCATTGGCACTTGATTTTTTTTTTTAAAAAAAGAGCAAGACGAGCCTCGACCTTCCAAATAGGATATAATTCCGAAAATATTAATATATGACGAGGGTAGATTATGGGAGAAAATCATACATGCAATCTGGATATAAGGGTTTTGTCAACTGCTGGGTCTGGTCATTTTTCTTTTCATTGTAGATTGTACACTTTTATGGGGAATAAACACATTCCAGATCTTATTTTAACAAATACTCTATCAATAATGAGCATGACATTCAGTTATGTCTGAAACACTTGAATACCTCGAAGCACAGCGCATATTATAAAAATGCAAAAAGTAACCCTTTATTTTATTTTGTAAAGGCTTACAGCAAATGCATACAGTTACTGTGAATATTCTCCAGTTTCAGGCACCAAGAACTGTTAATTAATACAAAACTAACATTTTTTAATACAAAACTAACACTGTAGAAATCTCCGGAACAAGAGTCATTACACAGCAGGTAAACCAACCTAGATGCCAACAGTAATGTACAGTTTTTTTGGAAAGTGACAAAGATATGTAGGCCCCTCTATTAAAACAAAGATAAAAATATTCCTATTATTTCCTTTGACACGCGGCATATTTATTAGGGTAGTTTACAGCAGTAAGTAAATTCCCTCGGCCTTGCAGAAGATTCCACTAAAGACCTCTGGGCTTGTCACAGCTAACGGAACAACCAAGATCTTGAGAGACAGACCCAGACTTACGAAGCAGTGTCTGTTCCTGCAGCAGTGTGGCAGTATAATGTACAGTATAGCAGAGGCCACCGGATGTTGCTCCTTACAACTGTGTCCTGAAGTTTAATGATGGACCCTGGCCATGACAAAGTTCCTTAAGAGTTTCAGTGACGGGACCTTATTTATAGGGGTTCGGTTAACACCTGCCTAAATCCTCACTGCATTGCTCTCCCTTCTGAAAAATGCAAAACTCTTCGCCTCCGTAGAATACACAGATTGTACCTCTCTCCAGCCCTTTTTTGTTAATCGCATTCAAAGGTGTTTTTTTTAATGATCATGCAATTAAAGTAAGCTTTGCAACACTATTCTTTAATTAAAATTGCCTGCCTGGATATGACTAGAATAATTGGAGAATTTACATGACCTACTGAGAACACCTACATGAGACAATCAGCATAATTTCAAGCAGCTGTTCTTTAATTGAAGTGTTAAATTGCGACCTATCAGCATAATAAAGCCCCACCCAGAAAGAGAGAGAATATAAAAATAATATTTTGGGCTTGGGTTTCAGCTAGGAGTCTCTTGCTCTGGCCTGTTCTTATCTACCATGTCTTAGAAAGTTAAACTGTGGATCTTTGGGAGAGTTACACCTCATCTATTTGACTTCCTCAAACATCTCTTCTTCTAACCACTAAGATAACAGGTCCTACAAATCTCTTCTATCTCAGATCTCTGTCCCATTTCTTCTTCTACACAAACTAAGTTGTTTTGCTTTAGCTTCAGCAAGCTTTAAAGTGCTTTATCCTGAGTCTTTAATCGATCGTGTCTCATGTCATTTGTTTGTTGAATGTTACTGCATATACCAGAAATAAAAAACACCAGTCCAGCAGCTGCTGTAGATCACCATTAAATCACCAATTTCTCAAGATACCAATTTCATTGCAATCAATTAAACAGGTGATATGTTAATTGAAGTCATTTAGAAAGAAATTGTGACTAAAATGTGAGTTGTCTTTAGGGAACAGATTGCTTGCTTGATTCATCAGTAGCTCACAGTTGTCGATCTTTAAAATCAGGTGACCTGTCAGACTAACTGGATTTGGGCTCACTGCAATCAGGGCTAGAAACCCCTGTTATATAAGTAACCGGTGGTCTCAGACTCAGCTCCTGCAGGGCCCAGTGTCTTCTGGATTTTGTCCCACCCATGTTCTCAGTGAAGTAGTCATTTTAATTATTTAAAAAATAAATGGGCTGCATAGGTTTATTTGTTCAAACTAGGCTCCGTGTTATTTAACAGGTGTCTGCACCTCTAAAAAGGGGAAAGTATTGTGTAATCAATTGTAAAGGGTCTTAAGAAAATCCTATATATGATTCAGGGCTCGTTGGGGCCCTGCTGTGCTTCTGTGCAAAGGTTCAGGGCACTGTCTCTGTGCTCTTAGTGTGGCTGTGATACAGCACTTCATCAGTTAAGTCTTGATTGTAAAGAAGCACTTTGTTAGCTCTCGGCTCTGTCAAAACATGGGATGACACGTGTGAACAGCTGTCAGGAGACAAACTGAAGCTTTAATTTCTCACCCTCGTTCACTTCTGAATTCTACACCTTCTTAAGACTAGTCCTGTCAGCTGTATTTTCGGCTGACCTACATTGCTTACCTTTCTACTTATTCTGTGCATACCTCGTTCCCAAAACACCACAGTGAAAAATGCTGCCCTAATATCTACCCACAATTTCATGATAATATATTCCCACAGCTGTTCTCTGCAATGGTCAACAGGGGGCAGTATCTACACATCAGGTAAAACTAGCCTCAATTATTTTTTTTGTATTCCATAAAGTACAGCATTAAACTCAAATTTAAAAAATCTTTTAATTCCAGTTTATTTCTAAGTGTTTCATGTTTAAAACTTAAATTATTCATGTTCTTTTTTTCATTAGCACAGGCCTTATGGGAGGTGTGGAGGTGCACTAAGCACAGCATAGGCCTTTGCATACTCTCGACCTATGACCTTTCCCTACTTTCCCTAAATGCGCTCCATACATCCGTCACTATCCTCACAGATAGGGCTGTCAGATGAGTCCATGTCTCCAGCTGCCTGCCTCCTAACCTCTTCGCTCAAATCCACACACAGAAAACTCTAAGGTGCGTTCAACAAGACGTCCTGTTCGCCAGGGACCTGAAGGAGCTCATGGAATCGCTGCAAGCCTACAGAACCATCAGGATGGTCCGAAACCTATGCTCATTTTGGAGAGGGACAGGGTACATGTTTGTTCTTTATTTTGCCTTTTCCCACTCATTTCCTGTATGAAGAAATCCGATGCACAAAGCAAAGCCATACACATTGCAGAACCTAAACAGTGATTTGAACATGTATGGAATCAGTTCCATATCTAAAAAGCGCATCTTTCCAGCAGATGACACTGTATTGTAAACCTATCTTTTAAATCAAAAAACAGAAACCTCCTATTTATATAAAGAGACATTGCCTTTAACTGGGGCCCCGCTCTGTTTATGGAAGATAAAGATCACAAAATGACACGGTGCCAGATGCATAACTGCCTGAAAGCAGATGATTATCTGCTGTGTCTATTACCCAGTATGAGTAAACAGGCTCATACTGAACAAGCTAAACAACTCACTTGCGAGTTAAGTCTAAATTGTGAGAAATTTCAGGGTGTTTAGACCATACTGTAGGGTTAATCGTCTGACTTACACGATGCCCAGTCTTGAGGGCCACACGAGAGACTGTGTCAGACTGTATCTTCCTCAGACAACTGTGATATATACCCTGTGAAATCCAGTATAGTATCTTTAACAAGCCAACAGAGCTCATGTAGAGCTTTACAATGAAGAAAAGGTCTTTATTACCCTCACACACTTTAGAATCTAGCAAATTGCCCTTTCTTTTTTTCTCTATTGGATAGTGAAACTAAAGAAAAGTAAGAAATAATGTAAGGTAGAAATCCTCTTAAATTGCATTACCTTGGCATTCTTGTATTTTTGGCCTGCTTAAAATATTTATGAAGAAACAAAGAGACAGTTGGGAACATCTTTGAGAAACTCATGAAAGAAACAAGCTTCCGTAACTTGAAGCCCAGTAGATGTGGCTACAGTACGAGAACAATGAATTTTTCCTGTTGCTACCTTTTTCTTTGCTTGTCAAAGTTGTTTAAAACCATGCTGTCTGATCTCACCCAGCTAAACAAATCATTAGGATAAACTGTATAAAGATTGTTTTTTTTTACATCCAGTTCATCTCATTACAGGTGTCACATCTTAAAGTAGTAACACACATGACCTAAACCTGTGTGCACACAGCACCAGTAGCAGAGACCAACACAGCTGGTATTTCCAGTTTTGTTAGAGTTAGGCTTGTAAAGAAGAGGCTGGCTACCTTTCCTACTAAAATCATTCCTTAGGAACATATTGTTGAAATTCAGGAATCTGAAAGAAAATATCAAGGGAAATATAATTTTATAAATTCAATTTGATATATGTTTTTTTATATATATTATGTTCAGTTTTTCTGTTTTGGCACACCATCTGGTTAGTGCAACACAAAACGTAATTTTTAATGCCAGACGTGATGTTACATATATAATGTTAACATCAGAATAAAAACTTTCTCATATTTATAAACTAAAACACAAAATGCCTTACGAAAACAGTACTATAGGATAATTTAGCATTGGCACATTTACTGGAAAACACCTCGATTTGTGGCCGGTACAAAAGGAGTCTATAAAATTTCTTTCTTAAAAAAGTTGCTTCATTCAATCTGCCTGTTACTTCTACTGTCAAATATCATGGACCTTCTCTGAGGCTGGTAGAAGCAGCTTGTGGAGGTCTCTAGCCTCTGCCCGCTTTTGGGCATAGTCATTTTATTTCTCAGGGTGACCCCTTCGGGAGTCTTCAGGTTGTCGGGAAACTCCTTGGAAAGGGCGTCCAGAGCCGCTGTCTCGGTGGGACTCTTGATGGGGGACAGCAGTGACTTGTTGCCCTCTCCAGAGGCTGGGTGATCCATGATGGGGAACGGAGGGCTGAACAATATCAGGCTTTGTGGCCTGTTCGGTCGAGCCCGGAAGGAAGGCTTCTGTAGGCCCGGGCTTCTGTCCAGCCTGGAGGACAGAGGGGAATCCAGGAAGGCTTCTCCGTTGGAACTGCGCTTGCGTCTCAGCACGGGAGGATCTGTTGGGGCTGCAGATTTCGACAAAGGCATCTCGACGGAGGCATTACCCCCGGCCTGCCTGATGGTCTTGGGAGCCGGTTCGTTGTTCTCCTTCTCATCCTTGGGATCCCCAACAAACGGGAGAGGTGGGGAGGGCTCGGGCTCCCTTTTGCTGGAGGAGCTTCCCGCGGTTTTCTCGGGCTCTTTTTCCAGCTGACACTCGGAGTTCTTGACCTGCAAAGGCTGAGGTATCTGGGTGTACTGAATCTTCGGAGGTATCACGGGGACTGCCCTGGCCTGGCACGTCTTGACCATGAAGGAGGTCCTGATGGAAGACACGCTCACGGGGGCAGAGTTTCGGCGCACTGGAGCTTGCCGGTCTGTCAGGAACATTTCTAGCTCCAAAGATGAAGAGCTATACTTTGCTTTCCCCTTATTCTCACTTGCGCGGAGGGGCTCGGATGGAGTTATTGAGCCTCTGAAGGTAAAAGCTGCAGAGGACAAGTCTGTGTTTTGCTGATGGGGATTGCCCAAAGTTTCTTTCAAGTAAGGGTGGGTGAACTGTTTCCCGAGATCTAAGTTGAGGGAGGATGGCCTGTGTTTCTGAACTGTATTATCCTTGTGTGTGTCCAATTCCAAGACCTCCTGGGATGTAAGGCTGTGAATCTCATTCATGGCATGTTTTTGAGAAGTGGCGTCCATTTCCTTTTCTGAACGTGGATGATTCCTTGTTTGAGCTTTTGCAGGCCCTATGTGGCTTAATGAGTCTCTGGGAGCTGCAGTTTGGATATTCCCAGGGGGCGTTCCTGTTTTTTTATTGATTTCAACCTGATTTGCAGAGTTGTTAAGAGGCAGCAAAGGCTTCTGTGATTGTAGATCAGTGCTTTTTTTGGAAGACATTTCCCCTTGTGCCTGGAACGCACATCCTAGAGATATCGGCTCGAAACTGAAATCGGGGTTGGTGTGTTTGATTCCATCCGCCTGCAGTTCTTTCTTACCTTGTCTGGTATCAGCAGAGACTGTTGGGTTTGATTTGTTGAAGAAGATGTTCTCTGTGGTCGCACATGAAGGCACTCCCTCAGGCCTTTCAAAGAAATCATTTGCTTTCGGTGAATGGAGGGGGCTAGTTACCCACTGTGTGGTGGTGCTGTAATCCTCCCAGGGCTCCACCAACTCTAAAGCCCCTGTGTCCTCCTCATCCCTCTCACTCAAGTCAAGGGATTGTGGTCGGTCTTCCATGTGCTTCGAAAGCCTCACAATACTTCTCCTGAGCTCCACAGGGAAATCTTTATCACCCGCTTGCACAGGTCTGGGACCCTCGGCCGCTTTTTCACATCTTCCAGCTACATCTATCAGACCTGCAGGATTGATTGATGTGCGAACTTCCTTGGTCTTGGGACCATCTTCTGGGCCAGATTCTGAATCTCTTCTCATGGCCACTGGGCCTACCCAGGTCAAGTCCGAAACAGACTCTGAGATTTTAGTCGGGAAGGTTTGTGTTTCCACAGCAGGGCAGGGCCTTCGGTCTTTGTCCTTGGACTGCAACAATGGGGGAAGATGTGATCTACTCCCTGAGCCACTCATCTGTTTGTGTAAAGGTTTCTGTTCAGTTTCTTTTCTCCCAATTTCTGTCTTTGGATTAAACTCAAAACTAGTATCAAATGAAAGCCTTCTTTCTGAGTTGCCCTTGAAATCTGTCTGGGGTGTGTGTTCATCCTGCGGGCTTGTCTTGAATGTCTTGTGGTCTACTGCAGACTGTCCAATACTTAGCAGAGGGTATGTTGGGAAACTGCTTCTTCTCTTTGTATGTACATTTGGATTTGGCAGCACATCATCACTGGTATTGAAAGTAAAACCTGGGCTTGGTTCAAATTTGTCTTCTATAAGATCAACATCTGGCTCAATGATTTTAAGCTCAAGTTGAATTTCAGGCCACAGCTCATCCATTGAATTTGATGTCCCATCCTGCAGAAAAAGAAGAGTACATGAATCACTGTTCCAGGATAATATATAATCACTTAAGTGCTTTCTGATGCCTTAAAGTTATTTGCAAAATGACATTGTAATGCTTGTGCATCAGCAGTAAGGTGTAGGTGTATTGTAACGATGAATGTCAGCTCTTTAAAATGGATTAAAAAAAATAAGACAGAATTTAGCTAGCCCTTAATTTACCCTTTCAAAGTGTATAAAAAATAATTGCTGGGGAAGAGGGCTTTTAACAAAAGAAAATGCTCATTCCTGAAAGATCTAAGGATTCAGTTTGGGATATCAGAATCTGTGACAAATGCACGTGAGATAATGGGAAGGACACCTTCTGGTTCACAGATGGAAGGATCAAGTGAACGCACTGGCAATGAGATGAGTTGCCCTACCAGCTCGGATAACGTGCTCATTCCCTGATGCTGCTCCTGCAGAATGTCCAGTTGCTTCTCAGGTGTTACAGAGTCAGCTGGCCGCAGATCACTGGGCTTGATTGTTTGTGCACAATCCGTTCGAGTAGCAGCATCAAGGCCCAGTGAGAAGGCATGCCTTCCAGGCTCCGAAGGAGGTTCTTGAGCTTTGGCGGTCTGTGAGTGTGCTTTATCTTCTCCTGACACAGGTCCAGAAAGCTGGGGAGGTTCGGAAATCTCAATCACCTGCCCGTGGCCTTCCCTCAGGTCAGTTTTTTGTCCTTTGTGTCCTTAAAAGAAGGAGAATTTAAACAGGAATCACAAGGCTGCGCATCTGGAATAATTGAAAAAATAGCAGCAATAAGCAGGAACGTTAAGCAGACTAGTATTCTGAAACCACTGGTGGAGTCACATTTACTGTCCTTGCATAGCTCACCAGGGGTCATAGTGAAGAACGGAGTTGAATTCACCTTTACTGCCCCTAAGGGAATACAGACGATAAAGAGAGTGATGCAAGCGTGCTCAAGAGCGATTGCTCTGGTCTTACCGTCCGTGACGTCCATGCTGATGATGACGGCTTCCCCGCCGCTCACCACAGTCACGTGCTTCTCATTCCTCTTCGGGGACAAGGAGGTGCCGCTGCCGACGCCGCGCTCCGGGAGGGGGCCTTCGCCGCTCGGCTTGGCGCAGGGCTCCTCGCTGACGCACAGGAGGGTCTGCTTGTCCTTGCCCGCCGCCCTGCAGGGCGTGCTGTTGGAGCTGATGACCGCGGACACCCGGAGGGGCACGGAGACGGCGAAGGGCTCCGAGATGTTGAGGGCCTTGCGCTGGTGCCGCGGCGAGGACTCCAGCGGGAAGAGGCTGCCGGGGAAGGCGGGTTTGGAGGTGCCGTCGCTGGCGCTGGTGGAGTAGAACATCCTCCTGGTCTTTGGGGAGGTGGGCTCGCACCTGCTCAGGTCTTCTCCTTTGAACACCTTGAGCTGCTCCGGGACAGTGCTCTGCGGGGGCGGCGTGGTCTTTGTCGCCGGCTTGGCGTCCCGGGGGGGCCCAGGCGACCCCCCTCCCTCTGCTCCCGGAAGCTGTCCCGGCTCGTAGTCCCACTCGTGGTCTGTCTTGCTCAGGTCGTAAGAGCTGCCGGAGCCCAGCGTTCGGGATTTGAAGGCTGGCATGAAGAGCCCGCTTGAGCCAGGGGACCGTTTGAACTCGTTGTCCTTGTCGTCATCTACGAGAGACAAACAGGAGCCCTCAAAAATTCCCACAGCGCCAGGCTTTTCTCAAAACTGTGAGGATGTCTGGTCTGCTTACTGGATTTTGGTTTAAAATAGATTGGGCTTAAAATACGCGTGTACCAACCAGTGTGTGCAGTGTGCTTGGCTGTGTAATTCAGGGTTAAGTGTTATAATTCTGCGTTACCTTCCGTGGGCAGAGAGCAGAGGGAGTCCATGCTCTTGGCTGGTCGAATAGCGGCCTTCTCTGTTAACAAGAAGAAGATATCAGAGTCCACCAGAATGATAAAGTTAATGTAAAGGAGACAGAAATATCTGTGATGGGTTAAAGCGTTTACTAAGTAATTCATTTTTACTGGTTGTACATACAGTATGTATTTCATTATGTAGCGTTGGAGCACTCCCTGCACTGAAATCTCTGTAAAATAATATGCAATTTAGTCCCGGCTATTATGCCATTTCTGATCCTTTGACTCAGCTCCCTAAAAGAAAGGGTGTCAGCCCCAGTGACTCCATTTTGACTCCCTAAATTCCCCCTTCATGACTTAAAAAGGGAAATGAAAAGGGCATTCTCTCACCTGAGAGTTTCTGGCCTCTGACAAACACACTGCCATTCCTGCTCAGCTTCCCCTTGGACTCCGTTATAGACCTTCCCAAGTTAAATATGGACTTCCACTTCTTCGACTTTCCAGAAAACTTCCTTCTGAAACAAGCAGGCGAATAATTACCCGCATGCATCAAACTGCCACAATGGATCATTTCGAAACCGAGAATTACTGTATCCGAACTGTTTTCATTTTCAGGCACAAGGGTACATTTATGTGTTCCGGAGGTGGATGAAACTTTCTAATCAAGCAGTTTTCTTCTTCCGTGGCCCTGTATGCTGGTGACAGACTACTTGATGTTACGTCACGCCCTCGGAGAACTCACCGCCCTTAATTAACTCCTTCACATTCCAGTGCAGTTTCCAATGAACTAATCAGACACACCTTATTCCACCTGCCTACTTAAACCAGCCTGACACACCACTCCTTTTCAGTATTGGGTTTTACCCAGCTAGAGCTGCATTGTTTCCGGTTCCCTCTCTGCAAGGTATCTAGGTTTTTGGCTCTGACCCCTGGCTTGTTTCCGACTTCGTCTTCTTTCTCCCGACTTGGTTATTGTGGATCTCTCTGGTTTGGACTCTGCTTCCTTTGTCCACTTATGTTTTTTTGTCTCTCTCCCCTGAACCTTCTTTGTGAATTTACTAGATTTGACCCTGGCCTGACCTCCTGACCCAAGTTTCTGGATAAACAATCTCCTTGTACTTTCGAGTGCTGAGGATTCTGTATAGGGTCCTTCTTCTGGATTGTAACTCTTGGTCACACACCCTCTGACTGCCTGTGACCGTACGTGTGTCTAGGCGGTGGGCAGGCGGAGGCCGTACTTGCTGTCTGGCAGGTCAATGACGGTGTGGTAGAGGGTGGCGGTGCTGGCGTCCGGAAGGCTGTTCTCTCTCTGCCTCTCTCTCCGCGCTGGGTGGTTTGGCCCCAGCGAGCGCGCCTGGGCCTCCTCCAGACTCACCAGCTTCATGGGTGGACACTGGCCACTGGCCGGGAGGGCTGCACACCTCGTCTCTGTACTGCACTCTATGAAAAATAAAAGGCAGTGCTTTCAGCTGTGCTCAAGTTTTCATATCTATTTTAGAGAGGGTTCCACTGTAATGCATTTTTTGCAAACAAGACCTCTTTGAGCCCCATAGACACTAGAAGTGCTAATTGAAACTCTTTTTTTCTTGTGATGATGGGGGAGGGGGGATTTCAGAGAAAAGGGAATAGGGGTGCTACTTCCAGGCAGCAAATTGTTATTGTACACCCAAACGCCTGTTGGAGAGATCGCTTCTCAGTTTGTGCCAGACAGCAGTCTTGACCGTTTACCTTCTTTCTTTGCTGCTGGAGGGCTGGTGCTGTTGTTGAAGATCTGATCCCTGTGGATCAGGATGAACTCCACCACGGTCTGCTGCACTCTCACCTCCAGGAAGGCTGCGTCTCCATTGCACGCTGACACTTCAATCTCCTTGGACCTGAAGGGATGCTGGTCTTTAACAATGGAAGACTGGGATCTTAACTTTCAGCAGTATTCGGATACTAACACATGGAAGAAATGAAGGCCAGGGATCAGGAAGTCTCCCTAATGTATTGAAGGCTGCTTCAGTTTGGGTTCAGGTAAGATAAATGTATTACTTTGTTGGTCAAGTGCAAGAGAAAGTTCAGAAGATTTAAATGTTGGACACGTTAATGCTGGCCATCTTTCTGTTAGTAGGAATAGCACAAAGCACAGCTTGGTTGGGTTTTGCTGAAGGTAAAGCTACTAACTTTCCAAAGTGAAATGATTTGATTGTTCTTTGAGTGGCCTGCACTACCCTTACGAAACCTCACATAGATCTGGCAGAGGTGCTGGGCGTTTTGGAGGCTTTGCTCACCTGAGGAGGTTTGGTGCCCACACCAGGGCCAGGTTCCTGGCATGCATGTTTGTCTGAGCGCTGAAGGAGGCCAGGTGTGTCAGGTGTTTGACCAGATATTCCAAAGTTCTGAAGGGAGAAGAAAATACACTGCCTTTATAGAAGCTATACACAAGTGGTTAATATACTCCTTTGACTTCTGTATCTTCAGTGTTCTGTTTCAATCAGTTTAAAACTTCATTGTTTAAGGGGTCAAAGTTTAACTGCAGTTTTAAATGTGTTCTTAAAAATAGCTTTTTGCGCTACCTGATGTGAACCAGAGATAAAATTAGCAATACAAAACTTAGTATTGTGCTTCATACAGTTGAAGAGATGTGAGAAGCTTTTGGAAACTACAAACCCCAGAATTCTTAATGCCCAAAAGAGGAAATGATCCTTGGCTCACAATAGGCCAACTTACAAAGTTTGGTTCGTCAGTTTTAAGGAACTTAAGAGAGATGGAGTTAAGGAACCTGATTGGAAAGATTTTGGATGATTGGTTTCTTGGGAGGAGAAACCTGAGCAGGGCATTGACCCAACGGAAAAGACTGTGATTTTTGGAAAAGCCCTCCTGTTTGTATTCTTGGGATTTATGTACACTGGTTAACAGGCCAGCTCTCCAGTCTCAGCTGAGGAATGCAACAAAGTCAGAGCTCTGAAGATGGAGCCGGGCCTTTCCTTTAGGTTTTGGTTAGTTTGGAGAACTTTGTAACTTTTCACTGGCACTGAGGTTCTGTGTGTTTTGTGTACCCCCTAAAATCCGCCCCACCTTCACATTGCCACCCACACAGTGTGGTAACCATTGTTATATACAGTGTATTTAAAAGGCATTCTCATTCGTACATTCCTTGACAAATTGCAATTTCAAAGATTAAAACTGAACCGCAAGAAAGGGGCAGAGCACAAAGGCACCAGATGACTTGTAAGTCAATGAAACTGCAGAGCAAATGGCCATACATTTTATTTTCAAGGCGACAGCAGTGAACATTTGCAGGATGCAAATTCTTGGTAAATGTGCTCCTCCAGATGGAGAGAATAAATTATTTACTAACACTGAAACTGCTCCTGTACTGCAGTGGCTTAGAGGGAAAGCTCAGTATCCTTGTAATTCATGAACTTTGAGAGAACCACTGTTACAACGCATTTTGAGAGAGTTGCCCAGATATTTGCTCTTAGCTCTCTTAGCATGGAATGCAAATTTATTTCATAATGTGAAATTTATGCACCTATTTATGACCGGATGTGATTTAAATAGTTTTGGATAAAAGCATCTGTTAAATAAATAAATGTAAATGTATTCATAGCAAATCTGGGTGTGATGACCAAGAATTTGAATGAACTATATAGTGTTAGCTCTGAGCTATGGTAATTAGGAATGGCATGCTGACAGTGTGGCTCCTGATTGAAAGTATAAAGTCATCAGGCCCCTTAGTCACACCACTCATAGGGGTTTTGATTAGTGGCTTGCTTTGCAGACTCTTGGCCAGCAGAATTCTTAATCCTCTTGCTTTTTAATCCACTTCTCCAGAACGCTTTCTGTTGCATATGCGTAAAGCTTTCGATAATAAAAAAAACACTGGACGTGGAATATTGTTCTAATACTGCAAGTGTAAGTCTCGCTGTTGGATAAGATGTGCCACGGAGAAGCACTGGCAAGCTATCATTTCAGAAAAAATAAGGGGTTATAAACAATATTTCCTCTGTGCCATAGGATGGATTTCATGTGCATTGTTAACATGCAGGGATTCAATACTCCCAGTGCAGGAATATTATTAATAATATATGTATCATACATTGCATATATATATATAAATACACGGCAGGTAAAAGGTGTGCTATATTGTTTGTCCTACAAACTTTATTGCAGTGTTAACCTGTTACCTGAGATGGCGCTAGAAAGGTGCAGACTGGGGAGCTCTGTCTTACCGGTAGTGAGAAGCGGGAAGCTCTTTGATGACATTCTGAATGCAGGCCAGTTGTTCCTGTTCATCCTTTGCTGCCACTGCATCCTGGGAGAAAACATTCCAAGAAGGAAGCATGCTAAGTCAGCAATATTAAGTAATTGGGCTCCTGGACAGATTGCTTGATTTGAGATTACACTCTCCTTCTTTGGGGAATAAGGACTAGGTTTTAAACATGATCATTACCAGCTTTTGTTTTTGCCTATGGTTTAAAACCATTTTAGTTATTTTTTGTATGGAAATGTAATATCATTGTTTGAATATCCCTTAATAAGAAACTCAGGATCCGTTAAGAGACCAGTGCTGCATTTTCAGGTTAGCCACTAGGGGTCCTTACAGCCTTGTGATATTGCTCAGGCTGAAAAAAAACGCCGGCAGTTTTTTCAACAAGTCAGGATTTAAGTAAACCCTTGTTGGATTGTGAAGAGACTGAATTAGCAGTGATCTGTTAAAATGTGGAGTACTGAAAATGAATTGAATAGTATTAAAAACAATGTATGGCCAAGTCTGTAATTCACATACTTCCGTCTGAAGTCTTTCCTGATACTTGCCGATACATGTTTTTTTGCCAGTAGTTAGTGCATTGATCAAATATTTCCAAACCCAGCCTTTTTGATGTTCTTCCCAAGTATAAGTTTGATAATGGCAGCTTTTCAAAGTCAGCAATATTCACAAACATTCGGTCTTCGAGTCCATACCTTCCAAATCACTACAAATAAAATGAGCCCTTGCACCCTTTCTTAACTCTTTTAGATCTTGTCACTGGGGTCTAATACTTAATACTCTTAAGAATAAGCCTGAAAGAGACTAGCTTGGCTTCAGCAGGTCATCAGAGGTAAAAAAGCATTCTTTAACATCTTGTGTCTTGTGTTTATCTTACGGGAAAAACTGATTTCGACTAAATCAACTGATGGAAGGTGAGAGGTGGTGAGAGTCCAGAAGACAGCCTGCATTTCACTTTCCACAGAGGAAACATTTACTGGAACTGTGGCTTTGACTGTATGGGCGAATGTTGCTTATTAAAATAGTCTGAAGATGCTAAAAGAAGCACTTTATGGTTCTTCTTAAGATCCTCAGGCAGCCCAATAGTGTGTGTTACTGTGGAGGAACTGAGTCACACAGCGGAGGGCTGGCACTCTGCTCACTGGAGAAAGGCAGGGCCTGCGGGCTGCCTGACCATCGCCCGCCTTCCCCGAGCGCAGGCACAGCGTTAACGGGCTTCAAGGGAACAGGCCCAGGTTCAGTCCAGGCCGACAGGAGAAGGAAAGAGACGTGTCGTTTCAGTTATGGAGCCAGGTGACATCTGAAGAGACGTTGTGGTGCTTTTCTCTTCCTTTCCGCATGGAATACACCTTTACCGGTTGCTTTCCAGCCTCTTTCTTTTTCTTTTTCTTTTTTAAAGTCCGGTATTCCCGCATCTGATCCGAACTCTTTTGGACGTACAGCACCACTCCCCCCCATATTGCTTCCTTTTATGTATTTAATTAGCTGTGAAAGTCTTGGTGCTGATACCATTGTAAACCAGGCTCCTAGAGTGAGGTGGATCAATGGAGTTTTATGGGCTTTAATTTAATCAAATTAAGGTTTTATTTAACCATACTAATCTTCCTCATCACATTTCTACAGTGCCCCCTTAAGAAAACAGATAAAAATTAGAAACATGTTTGGCTTTGTATTCAATTCCTAGGTGATATTGGCTTTTAAAGTAATTTATCATCCAGGTCCTGAAAGCAATTCATTTAGGTTAAATACATATTAAGTTTAATGTTGAAAGCTTTGGGGTAAAAAATAGAGGTTGTCAAAAACAGATTAAATATCTTCTTTGGTCAAATAAACCATCTTGCTTTCAGGAAATAATTGATATATTTTTCATATCTGAATGCCTGAAGCAAATCCCCACTCCTGTCCAAGTAAGTGTTATGAAAAAAGACAGAGCTTAATATGTGTATTTGCTCTGCTACAAAAGTGAGACTTTAATTTAAGTGGTCCGTGTTCCTTTAACCACTTGCATGTGGTTCCCATTAGTTTTATCCCTTTCTATAGGGATGTCTGGAGAAGAGGGAAGTGATGATGGAATCTGACTAATGCTTAGCATTGCATTTCCAACTAAAACCAAAAGCCGTGGCTTCTTGTAGAGTCATTAAGACAGACTCAATCCCAATGTTTTGCATACTAGTTGATCAAAAAGACATTGAGTCTGTTATAATTACTTTTGTGGTCTGCATCAATGGCCACAATTTATTTTCTAGCAAAAAGGACTTCCTGTGTGATAATGAAATTTGTAGAATTGTTGGACTTGTTAATGTTTTCCCCTCCAAAACCAGCACTTTTATGTCCCCTGCCTTCTTGTTCTGTTTTCTTCTTCCTCTGTGTAACAAAGCACAAGCGGAAGAATATTTTCCACCCTGTGACACCCCTGCAAATTATATATTCTGTGGTTTTGTAAAGTCATTGTTTCCTAAGCGACCATCACAGCATATACTTTTTTTTATTTCCCCCCAAAGACAAACCCGTTGTTTTCTTTGAATTCATTTCCGTTTTCCCTGAATAATAGAACCGTAATAAGAAAACTGCCTTTTTTCTCATCGCTAGCAGACCTGTTCCCTTCACCCTTGTGCTGCTTCAGAAGGGATTGTCCTCAGACACCATTTTTAATTTGTCAGCACCCTGTTGGGTCCTCTGGGGAGTCTGGCCATATCCTCCTCCCCTCTGACGTGGCGATCCTCAGGTGAGAATCGGATGGCCGTTTGCCATTGTGAGGCTGCCATCTCTTCTCCTGCCACCGCCAGCTGGGTGAGTGTGCCCCCTGCTGGACAGGGAGAAGCTTCCCCAGGGGGTGGCCGGGCCGCCTGCGGATCGTGGCTCCTCATGGCACGGTAGTGAGGCCGTGCCCAGTCCCCAGCCAGCTGGACAAACGGCAGTGCCTTACCGTGAATTTCTTATACAGGTCATAGGTGAGCAGAGGGTTGGGCAGCTCCCTGAAGTAGAGCTTGCAGAGTGAGCCCACGCAGTGGATGTCCTGGAGGTACACCTCTCTCGTCAGGTCTGGGCTCTGGTCGGAGCCAAACTCCTGTCTGCAAACAAACGTGCCAGTGGTCAGCAGCAAGGCCAGTGGAAGTGGTATGAGCCAAGGAAGCCTAAGCAACAGGTATCTAGATTATTTTGGGACGCAGCTGTCCTCACTTTTTCAGCAGGCAGGGCAGGTGTTGTCATAAAATGGCTGAAATATTGTTTGTTTTCCGATCTGCCTTTTGGGTTTGTAGCAACAAAAACAACACCCACATTTCTGGTTTTGGAAAGCACTCTGACCTCTTTTTATTTTGAGATCACAAACCCTTTTCTGATGCAGCTGGATAAATACATTTTTGTGCTGGGACTACATACTCCACAGTGCGTATTTATTCCTATAAAATTATGTGGGGCTCATGGTGGGGGGGAATGAACAGGATACATTATGAAAGACTGGAGAAACTGCTGTGAAGAAAACGCACTCCTGGATATTGCCGAGTAAGGGGGAGATAACCTATTGTATCTGAGTTTAAGAAACAAGTGCATGGAATTCCTGGTAAAGAAGCCAAGTTTACATATTGTTATAGTGTAGAGACTGCAATGATATTGTTTGCTAAGACAAGCCAACTAGTTATTATTGAATAGCAGCCGAGTTAGGTGTCAATACTTTAACCAGCTAAGACTTTATAAATATTTGTTTAGTTACTGCAGCATGGAGTCATGGTACTGTGTCTGTACTGAATACTGTTTATCTTTCCTGGGCATGCTGGTGGTTCTGGGCCCTGAGGACCAATCTAAGGTGAATATCAGCGTGACATCAAAGCTGATGTTATAAGCTTGGAGTCTGAAGTAATGAAACCCACCACTTGTTCATATTATATGCAGACCCTGATATTTCCACTCATGAAAACCAAGAACACATCAAGAGTTACAGTACCACCGAGAAGCAGGTTTATTTGAACTGGTATAAGGAGTATCCTTATTCATGCTCCTTAGCCGTAAGTACCATAAGACCACTTTGTGGACCTCAAAGGAAGGACCATGTGCTTCAGCACTGTGCTCTCCACTGACCCGATCCTGTTCTGCATGAAGGAACAACCAAGATGTCTGAAGAAATTAGCTCTAGAAAGGCCTTGGTATACTTCCTCACAGATCTTATAAAAAAATCTCAATAGAAAGTCATACCTTGTTTTGTTACTGTTGGATTTGTTTTAGTGCTTGTCAAATACTTTCAGTAAGAAGTCTTATGGAGATGTTATAACATTAGGAGGCACAGTGACTCGAGACATTAATACCTGTGGGTTATATTTAGGAATTATACACAAGTGGGCTAATGGAGCATTTACGGCATCCTGCTTGTTAGGCACGACATCGATTCCGAGATCCCAACCAGCCTTCATTTGAAACATCCCAGGAAATCCTCTTTAACAATCTAGACAGGTAGCTGGTTCAAGGCACACAAAACCCTTTGGGAAGAGAAGAACCTCTTGTTTTCAGGTCTGGATGCATAGCCTTTTAATTTCCACTTGGAGGGTTTATTTTTTACCTGAGTCTTTGGATGTTGGAAGTGATCCCTGAGAGCCTGTAGATCCCGTCCACAATGCCATGCTCTTCAATGAACTCTGCACAGCTCTTAAGAACCTGAGGAACTTGGGAAAAGAAAGAAAGAGGAATTAGCGGAACACTGTACAGTGTGGAAGAAACTGCCTACTGCTAACCTCTTCAGTACCATTGTACACTTCTGCACTTTGAGACTGTCAGTATTAAGGGATTAAGTTTTGTTGCATGTTTAAATGCTTTGCTAACTGTTCATAATCTCTGCCCCTGTAAGCTTTAATCCATCTGATTAACATTCAGCAACTATAGAATTAAAATGTTCAATATGCTGTGCAAGCAGACAAACTGGTGATTCCTGCAGTAACCAGAACAGGCCCTCACAATCTGCTCTGTGGCTTGGTTTTCCTCCATGCAGTTGAATATATTGTCTTTAATTTTTATGGAAGAATTTAAGGGCTGGTGTTGATTGCCCATCTGTATGGATAATGTATTTTAATTTGGGTTTATTTTATTACATTTAAAACGGAAATTCAGGAGGAGGTCAACCCTAATCTCTCTCGCTTCTGCCTACTCACACATAAATATTGCAATTCTTGCTTGCGATTTTTTTATTTCACATCAGGTTCTGGTTAAAGCTCATTATTTGAATCATGACGTTTCTTCGTTTTAACCAGTTTGCCCAACAACAGCAGTAGTTTTCTTTCTTGAGAAATTGTGAGCAGATTTGGTCATCTACACTACAATGCTGAGATACTGTGCCTGAGCTCTAAATAAAATGAGATATGAAGTCTTCTAAAACAAATTAAAATTGTGTAAATCTGGGCATTAAGGCATTAACTGTAAAAAAAACAAATGAGTCTTTTGTTTAAAAAAGAAGCAAAGTCCTTCCCTTTTCTAACTCCTGGGATTTTCTGAAGCATGGGCTACAATAACCTTAACTGTGCAGCCACATTTCGGAACTCCTGCTTTGTTGATACTGTAACTCTTTTAGGCAAAGAAGGATTAATGCTGAATGAAGTTCTCACGATTGCTGAACAACAAAGACGTCACAACTTTTACAGCTGCCTTTTCTTGTCAGTCATCTCAGATGTTATCCAGTTGCACGTTCAGTTGAAGGGATATCTCCAGTAGAGCGGGGAGAGGAGGTTTCTACTGTTCGTGGTTTTGTGTAACTGTAAAGTGAAGATAGATCTAATTGACTCAATTAGATGAAAATTTGGTCATGGATGAAAATTGATCGTCCACACATTTATTGATCGTCCACCTGCAATTTCCCTCACGGGATCAATAAAGTATCCATCTTATTAAAACCTCTTTTGAAAGTCAAAGAGGCTGGGAAGTAGACGCTATCAGGATCTCTTGCAATTTGATTTTGTCTTAGAATGATTGTTTTAGTACAGTGAAGTAATCCAGATCAATTAATTATTTACCTAATAACAGAACTGGAAGGGTGTTATTCATGTTGGAATGGATGGACTTGGAACTTTTTCCATCTATTCATTTTCAATATTTTTTGCCCCTTTTTTTTTTCGGCAGGAACCAATTAATTCCCTTGAATTGCTTATTTTAGTTTTTTTGCTTTTTTTAACTTTAATTTTAGTTGTTTGTTGGGCTTTTTTTTTAATTTATTTTGCTTTCTTTGGGTTGGGGGGTATGTTTTCAGCATGCATCACACATAAAGTACAATAAATTGAAAACTTTGCTCTGGAATCATAACAAGGAATGAGGAACTTGTCTTTGGAGGATAATCAGTGTGGTAGCAGCTGTGCGTAGGCCAGGAGACAGACGACTGGGAGATGTACAGGAAGCAGAGTCATTGTTAACCCCTTCCTTTCTGGAATGGAGTTTGCCCTGGAACAGTTTGCTACTAGTTTTCGAGTAGGGACAAGTGAAATAACACTATAGATATGGACTACATCATATAGAATCAGTTGTGATCTGGTATATTTATCACAAATTTAGTCATTCTTTTACATTTCTTTTTTAATATGACTGGATCAACAATACAGTGCTGATATGTACAGTATGCATTTCACAATTCATGGCCTAATGTGTTCAAATTGAGTAAATGTGTTCCCTTTATAACATTATTAATGTAGACTGGAGTATTGTGACTAGATATGCTTGTTTTTCTTTAAAGATAGCTTTTTGCAAGATTCATATTATAAAAGGTGTAGTGTTGTAGTTCTAATGTGCTCATTTCCAAGTTTCTTCTGAATCAACTAATGGAGATATAATGTAAACCAATTTCTGCTCTTGAAGCCTATTCCTGTGTGGCTTCTGCCTTACAGGAAGTCTTCATATGTTGTTCTGTTTATTTGATCCTAAGCTGGATGACACATGGTGAGTGAATTGCGCTTTGAGGAGCTCCAGCCCACAGAGAGCCATAATGGCCTTAACCCCTGCAGAATCTCTTGCCCTTTCTGCTCCATTTCCAAAGTAAAGATGCCGGAGGACAGACGTTCTCACAGAGTCCAGATGCAAGGAAAGTCATATGGGACTTTCAAAAGGCTCTCCTATTTTCCTTCTGCTGTATCCTCCTTCACAAAATGGACAGATACACAAATTACAATTTGCGTAGTTTGACTTGTGTATAATAACACCAGTTGTACACGATGATAATTTGTTAATACTGTGTTGGAAATATTATAGTATTGAATGTAACTTTTAATATAAGAGGTTATCTCCTCTTTTAATTTCAGTATTTTTAAGGTAAAAAAAGTTTTTTTTTAAAAGACCACCACAACTTTCTAGCAGAAAGACCTTTGGATTAAAGTTTAGATTTGTATGCAGACCTAGCATAATGTCATTTTGTCGCTAAATATTTTTAAGTGCTTAATTCCCCCTTTCACTGAACCACACCCATTTACAAAATGCTAGAAAAGCACTAGTGAAAAAACTTGTTTTAAATTTGAGGCAAAGAGGCTGTAATTATAGACCACCTAAGGCCATTACATTAAACATGCTTTACAAATTACAGCTGACCTGGTCAGAATTCTGTTTAGAAGGAGACATGGAACACAGCCTCATCTCGATTAAAGTAACATGCAGCACTGACTTTTATTTAAGCAGGCTGTGGGCAGGGCTAGACAGATTTAGATCACATTTGAAAACGGTATTTCACTTCACTCATAATAAAATACAGTACCGGCTAGTTTTCAACACAGCCTGCCTGACCTTGACTATTTCTACCCATCCTGTACAGAGCCTCTCCATGTCCATAAGGACTTCTGTTCTGTTCAATTGTTTCCCCACAGATGGCTTTACCTTGAGATTTCACTGTAAAAATACTCAGACATCTATAGCCCACAGTAACAGTACATTTTGTTCACATTTACACAGCCTCCACAAAACCCTGTTCCAGGTTACTCACTCAGCTGAGACCCTAGGGTGCTATGATTGCCAGCATCTCGGAGAGCTTTTACTGCTTTTGAACATTTTCTTTGACCAGCAACCAGGCTCCCCGAGTGTTTGTGGCATCATAGGGAAAACGTCCCCTGTGCCATTTTAAATCCATTATAAAGACTTTGAGACTTCAGTTCTGTGCAGACTGCTATTTTGGCTTGCACCCAGATGTCTTCTCCTAGTCACTGCATGAATGCCTTACCTGTACTTCTGTAACCTGAAGGTTTATGTTTTCTTATATATTTTTTTTAAGAGGAATCCCCATCACAGCTGGTTCATGACACAACCCAGACACAGACTGGTGATGACTGCGTCGCAGGGCTCAGATGAGCCTCAGTAGCCCCCACCCGCTAAAGGAGTATTTTTCACAGGCCGTAGTACAGATTGAAAGTTTTTTAAAAACTCATTTAGTGTTTGCAATTGAGAATAATGTCCTTCAAAAATTATAACTAGAGGCAACCGATTTACACGAGATATGGTTAGATCACATAGAGCAATCTCCAGCGTAGTCAATTCCACCGTTCTCTGTAGGTGTCAGTATTTTTTCCTCTTAAATGCATGAGGTGTTTTCACTGAAAATGTACTCGATAGGACACATCTAGTTGCAGGCCATAACCGCACGAATGTCGGTCCGTTGAGCAGTCATCTGGGTCGTCTATGAAGCTGTGTGTCTTGTCCCATCAGTCTGTTCTCTATCTCGCACCTGTGCAGGTGCTGACCTCTGCACATGCTCAGCGGCTCACAGTCCAATATTTGGAGGCACCTTCCGTCATAATGCTTCTTTTATTCATCTCCATCCCATTGCTAATCCTCCTTACCATGTGTTTCATGATTGTGGCCACAATCCAAAAAATACATTTTATCTTCTCTAAGCTGTTTTCCAGACTGTTGGTAAAAACAAGGCTTTAACTGTATCTTTCTTTGCAAGAGCTGTTAATATTTGACAGAGTTGCGATTCCATACTGAGACATCAGGCTGAAAGAAGCAAAAGGTGCCAAATGAATTGACTACGCTGGAGATTGCGCTATGTGATCTAACCATATCTCATGTGTAAATCGGTTGCCTCCAGTTATAATTTTTGAAGGACATTATTCTCAATTGCGAACACAAAATTAGTTTTTAAAAAACTTTCAATCTGTACTACGGCCTGTGAAAAATACTCCTTTAGCGGGTGGGGGCTACTGAGGCTCATCTGAGCCCTGCGACGCAGTCATCACCAGTCTGTGTCTGGGTTGTGTCATGAACCAGCTGCGGTGGGGATTCCTCAAGCCCTGGCTCACGGTTGGCAGAGTGCCCTGTGGGATGCTTGAGCTATGGTCAGTCAGGGTATCCTTAGCCCTGCTGCGAGACCGCAGCCCCGTGAGCTCGCTGGCCAGCTGCAAGCTGCAGCGCTCCTCCAGCTGACGTGGGGCTGGCTCTGCTCAAAGGGCAGACGCCCCCCCCCGCCTGTCACAGAGCTAGTGCGCGAACAGGCCAGCCGGGCCTGAGCGACGCAAGGCCATCCGGGTCTGGGCAGGCGTGGGGAGAGCACTAGCTACAGACTTGAAAAATTCAAAATGTTGGTTTTTGTTTTTTGCTTTATTTTCCTGATCTCGGGGTCTGGGGCGTGCGCGCGCGTGCGTTTAAAGGGTGGCTTGCGAAGGTGACTTGGCTCTTGTGTTGCCGTGGGTTGAGAAGGCCCTGTGAA